TCAGTTTCAGAATCTGTAACTTTGGACAGCAGAGTAAGTGCTCTCAAGAAATTAGACAAACTTTCCTGTAGAAATTATCAAGAATCAACCACAGCTCTTGCAGTTTTTTCCATAACTGTCCCTAGTTTTAGAGCATGGAGTCATGGAAAGCAAAGTGCAGCTGGATGAAACTATGTAACTTTTGATGTACTAAAGTTCACCATCCTGATGAAAAATGCTAACTCCAGGTTCCTGAAACTTGCTATGATTTTGCTTTGAAGAAGCTTATTCATATTTAAATTTTATAACTGGAAACAAAAGCAAAACAGGAAAACAGCTTGCTTAAGAAATTACTTCATGAAAGCAATAAGCGAGTCAATGGCTAATAAATGATCCTTTTAGTTACTTTAGTTTGACATGCAAGGACATGCTGATACAGAAATATGTAATTTAATATTATTTCAGGCAAACTCATGCTAGTTTGTAAAAACACAGTGAAGCATTCCTGTATGACAATGTTTTTGGGGTTTTTTGTTTGCTTGTTTTCTGACACTTTTGCCCACAATTTCACATACACACATACAGTGCATGGATATGAACACAATAAAGCATATTTACATAATGACCACAGAAAATTGACTAGTGTTTCCCAGAAGCCATGTTAACAGAATTACTACTTAAGCTAAAAAAATTACTAATATATCCATTTTCACTGAGAAAAGTGCTTGAAAATCCTAAATTACACAAAAATAATTCTGAAACTGAGAGCTACAAAATTCATAAGAAACATGCAGCACCCACAAGAAGTTACACTGGAACAATCTGAAAAAAAAGTTGTAAGCAAATTCAAATAATCTAAGTAAAATGAAATATGACCAGACACAATACTTAACTGTTCTTAAAAATTATCAGGTGGACATATTTTCCATGGTTATTTCTTCCCTAAGCTATTTTGGTAGGCTAACAACCAAGCACAGCAATGAGCCATCCATTTAACTGTGCACTGGGGTAGCAGGATCACTTCTTAAGTTAACAAAACCTTTTCTTATTTATTTATTTTTGTAACCCTTGGGGTTTCTTTTCCCTGGACGGCTCTGGAACACGTGCTGGACAGGCTGTTATTACTTGCATTATTAGCTCTGATAAGCACACAGCTCTAGGTGGTATAGCTGCAGGCTAAGGTACTGGGCTGGGTACAGATGGACCCCTGTGCTCATGCAGAGCACTATTGAATGTATAGGGGCTCCCCATAGGGACACATGTGAACCCAGCCTGAACAAACCAATTGTAAGGGCCCATACTCGTGGAATAGCTTTATTTCCTGCACTACTGATGCATTTATCACAATTTCCTAAAGACAAAAAGAAACACAGGTCTACTAAAAGGAGTTTCTGAAACATGAACTTAATATAAAACAGAAAAATCCTACATTGAGAGCAAGTTAAATGAGTATCTCTGCCCTCAGTGTAAACAACTCCATTTCATGCATGTATGTGCACTCCACAGCACAAACCAAGTCACAAGAGCTTTGATTACTTAATTACACAGCTTATGTTCATAGCTTATAATTGTTTACAGCATAAAAAGCATAGCCTATTTACTCTGATTAACACCTATCCCTGTGTACTAACAAGACAAATTTATTCCAGGAATAATCTCACAATGAATTTATGAGATGGTAAATCTACTGATCACAAAACTGCTTAAGCTTCATTTCCCATGGTTTGGGGAAAAGGCCTCCCTCCACCCAGATGAAAAGGTGTACAACAAAATAACTGAAGCTCTGCTACCACCTTTTTATTTTAATAGAGGTATGAATGTGGGGTTTTGCTCGCCTATTTGATAAAAGAAATTGTTTCAGAAATACTCAGTTTTCACTTCTAACTTTCACACAATTTGATCAAAGCTGGCTTACAGGTGACAGAGGAATGAGGGAGAGATGTATCCACAAACCTTATTTTCCTAAAGATACAAAACTAAACTCTGTACAGGAGAAAGAAGGAAGAAATTATAATTTTGCCTAACATCACAGAAAGAGACAAAACATAATATTTGGCTTTAAAATTTATGGAGGGAAAAAGATGGAGAAGCTGCAAGGTAATGGTCCACAGCTCAGAGCTCAAGACCCTCCAATACTGGTTGCTGCCATAGAAAATGAAGATGCTGAAGCCAAAATCCTCATGTTACACAAAGTTCAGAAGAGAAAAACACATACATACTGCCCCTTTGGTTAACCTTAAACAATATTACACAAATACCAAATCCTCAAAATATTTTTAACCGACATCTCTAAAATGACCCACACTACTGCAATTGCTCTTTATCTTAATTTTTTCCTCCAACAGGTATAAAGTTTCAAAGTAAAAATGATTCAACTACTGTTCAAATGAAAAAAAAGCTCTGTTAAGTGCTTCTGGCAGGACTGGAAGGCACATGGAAGTTACATGATGCCACCTTCCTTTGGCAGCTATTACTGGAACACTACTTTTAAAATTTTTTTGGAGAACCTCTAGAAGCAGCTGCTTAAAAATATACTGGTCCACTTTGCCTAGACTAGACTTGACTCTAGTCATAGAGTGCCCTAGTGATAAAACTCCAGAAACTTCCTTTGAAGCTTCTTAAATAATAGCAAAACACAAAAAGCCACATGCCATTGGGGAAACAATTGTTCTTCCTGCTGTGGTAAAAGTCACTGAAGTAATTCAGGGAAAACAATATGGCAACAAACTAAAATACATTCCTTTGTCAGTAAATACTGTTGGAAAATGCACAGAAGACGCTCATAAAGATTTGAAGAAAGAAGTGTTAAAACAAGTTACACAGTGTGGGACGTTTCCTATACAGTTGAGTGAAAGTACAGAAGAAGAACTTCTCACACCTTTTGGTATTTGCATCTCAATAATGAAATGCACAGTTGGTTTTTTTTTGTTTTTTTTGTGAGCCACTGAAGTAAAGATTTACTGGAGAAGATCTATTCTCAACAGGAAGCAGCTCCATGTATAAAAAACAATGTATTGTGGAAAAAATGTGCAAATGTAGCCACTAATGGAGTGGCTGCTTTGACTGGAATAAAAAAGGAGACTCCAGACTAAGGCTAGAGAGAGAGAGCACTGCACATGAAACTTCTTCACTGCCTCACTCAGGGGTGAGCTGTTGCAGCAGAGTAGTTGGAGTCAGGAGTGCACAGTGTGCTACAGGATGACATCAATGTTATAACTTGACAAAAACGAGCCCTTCAAACAGCAGCACCTTTACCAGACTTCCTAATGAGATGGGGAGGGGCCGGGAAAATCCCTGGCACCACAGAATGGTTCTCTGGATAACCTGTGGCAAAGTGCTTAAAAGAGTTCTCTTTTCTTAAAAAAAACGGGTCAAGTTTGACAAGTGCTCCAAATCCACTGACCTTTTCAGTGATGACAGGTGGCTGTGAGTAGTTTGCTACCTAGCAGGAATTTCCAAAAACTAAACACTCAAGTGTCCCTTCAAGGTGAAAGTGTCATTTTAAAAATGAGTAAGACAGCAACTCCTTTGCAAAAGAAACTTGTGTTTTGGAGAAGGCATTTTGTAATAGGTATTTGGATATGCTCACCTAATTATGGAATTTTTGCTTTGGTTTTGTTGGTGAACAAAATGTGTGTGACCTACGAAAACCTTCTATATCTGTACACTTTAAAAGGATATAAACAGAACTTTCTAACCTGTTAAAAATCTTCCCAAGGAGAGTTTTAGGGGGTTGAAAACACTGACATGCAACACCTTCTCATTAGTTTGGAAGAAAAACTCATTGACATCCGGGGACAAGATCATTTATTACCCAATTTCAAGCAAAACATTTGTAAAACTTATGGATAGGACTGAAAAAGGAATATAATTAAGTAAAATTTGGTAAGTGCAAGCAACTATGCACTTCTCCATGGGGATCTATGCATCTCTGTAAGGTATCTTTTCCAGGCATGACACCCATTAAGATCAAGTGTTGAAATAAACTAAACTTAGAAGCAGGCACTCAAATTCCTTTATCACAGTGTTATAGATTTTAAAAACTATGATGCATGTTCAGTCGTACAGATCTCAATAAAAAGTACTGTTAATGAACAGTAATCTTTTGAGCTTGATAAATAGCTTAAAATATTTTTAAACTGTTTATTTCATCTTTATCTTATTCTTTTTTAACTTCTATTTTTATGTTTTATAATGTACATAACATACAAGTAGAGTGATACATTCACATAATTTATAGGATATAAATGAATATATCTATATTGGGATTGTGCAATCAGAAAGTTTTTACTGATGGGGTGCATGAACAAAAGAAGTTTAAAGAATATGGATCTGGATGACTGGATGCAAATACCCCTTACTGAATGCTTGTACAGAATAATTCCATGGCTTTTCATCCATTCTTACATCCCTCTTATTAGCAGCATTCTTGGCTCACCTGTGTCTAAGTACCTCTCACCAGAGGTGGTGACTCCACTTTAAAGAGTTATTGTCCAGTACTCTTCCAAGGAGAATGAAAACAGAAGTGTACTGCATCACCCTATTTCAACATCTGTCTAGTAACACATGTGTGTTTATGTGCATGGACCATTTCAATGCTGGGGCAAGGAACGGATTCAGTAATTTGGGAATATTTAAACAAATTTATTATAATGAGAGATGCCTTAACTGAAGTTTTGCATGAGGCAAATGAATTTATATAAGTATTAAATACTTAATACAGAAACACAGTAACTCTTGTGCTGTTCTGTCACCACCAGACTGAGATGTGAAAAGTTTTGTAATAATCATACTAAATTCTACAGCCCTTGAGAACAAGTCATTTTGGAAAATAATCCATATCACCAAGAACCCAAAGCCAACACAGTAGATTTATATGCTTCAATATTGGTTCCACAGTGAACTGATAAGATGGAGATCACAAATATTAACTCTCTGACTACATGGTTTCAAAAACAAGGATTATATTCATAGCACAAAAGTGAGTACATCTGATGTCCTAACAAATAGTTGACTCTTACCTTGCACCTTATCTGAACACAGCTCCTTGGCTCGATCCCTCATTATTTGTGGAATCAAAACATCTTTTTCTACATGTCTCAGCTTAGAATTTTCTGCAAGAGTGAAAAAAAGATAATTTTGAAAAAAAAATTGTTATCTATATAATCAGAAAAAGTAAATTTAACGAAATAACACAACATTGTTTATATAACATACAGGAGTACAATAAAACTCAAGGAAACAGCAGCAGAAAGTACCATGAAAGGACCACATAGATCAAAAAGATGGAAAGTCCAAAATTTGCTCAGATACAAATATGAGCATTATCCTGAATACTTATACTCTGTTTAATGTGCACTATGAAACAAAAATAAAGGAGCAAATTCTGGCAGTACATTTGAACTTCTGCCTTAATGAATTAAAAATCTGCATAAAGACACTACAGCAGTTAAATACTTTTATTTCTGGAGACTAGTATTTTTGTATGCACATGATCTATATGTACACTTTCATTCACTAACACGAAGAGAAAAACAGCACATACTAGAGCACAACCCAGAATTTGTATGGCTACGTGGACGACTTCAGTTCTTCAGAAGAAAACAAAGTCTCTTCAGTGGAGGATCTAGGAGCTTTTTCATTGAGAAATTCAACTTTAAAAGAAGAAATGTTGCTGCCTGATTTCTATACTTAAAAGCAAAGCTTTAGTTTGTGTGCAGTTGTCTCCAGAATTTGAGCTAGTGATTTAGAATAAACAATACAGACCATTATGGAAAAAAATACTGCTTTTCCAAATCCACTTTCTTCAAAATGAAGGGATGAGAATTTATCAAGAACAGTTTTTTCCTTCTCAGTTTCTGAGTTTAAACCCTTTAAAGGGCATTTGCTCAGAATACTGTATAGTCCAAAGCAGTTATACCAAATACCTCGTTTCCATCTTCAAACACATTATTTATTCATCCTTTGGAGTCGATATCACATTTCAGAATACCATGAGTTGGGATGCTCACACTATGAATATTCTACTATTAGATAGAGTTGTTTTAGGTGGCAATCATTTCAATTTAAAATCGCTTATTATAAAGAAAAGGAGATTAAATGAAGAAAAAGTAAAAGTGCAATGTATTGAAGCTAAGGAAAGAAACATGTTTCAAGTTACCTACAGCCAAACACTATTTCTCAGAGCATCTTTGGTTACTTCTCCATAAAAAACAACTGAAAACAACATTTGTCACTCTTGATTACATTATGAGATTACACAGTATTGCATATATGATATTACTAGTGGCATCTGGCAACAACAGAAGATTACAATGAGCAATATACAGAATCTGAACTAAAGACATTTCTCCTCAAAAATATCCTTCTTAGCATTTCTACAGCAGGGAAAAAAACTCTATTTTGTACATACAACAAAAACAGTAAAAACAAATAGCTCATGACTTAGATTTGCTTCCATGCTCTGATTTTCATATTAAAATATTACGACTACCAGATTTCTACAAATATATTATTTTACAGATAAAATATTACAAATATCCTTCATTTTAACTTTCTGCAGAGTATCAGTGCAATTACTGTACCACACACCTGGTACGGTACATAGGCTATAGACAAGACAAAGCTGTCAGAAAATTTCCAAGCATGTTTTGTAAATAGGACACATCAGTTCAGCTGAATGACAGGGCAGGAACTGGCACCACCATGCTACATGCCTCAGCTCCACTCACTCCAGTCAAAGCAAGCTGGCACTGCAGCCTTCCTGCCCCCTCCACATCCTATGGTGCTCTTTCCCTCTGCCCACACAGACAGGCTCAGCAGCCCTGTGGTGAACGAAAGGGGAAGTTAATTCCCTTTAAAGGTAAATAAATTTCCTGTTAGGAAAGTCTTCAGCTAGGTAAATTCCCTGATCCAGTTCACTGTATAACTCCAAAGCTGCCCATATGAGGGAATTCAGTGAAACTAGGGCAAGCAGAAAGACTAAGTATTATGAGTATCACTGCCTTCAAATTACAGACAAAATTTCTGCTCCCCAGACTTTCTTTTCCTGAACTCAGCTCGGCTATACTGGTGCTTGGAGTACAGGGAGTACAGTTGCAGATACAATTAAGCAAGTGGGTCGATACTTGTCACCAAAAGCATTGCCCTCACTCACTCCCATCACATCATCATTATTATGCACCTAACCATGCAGTGAATGAGCAGGTCAAAACAGAAAACTAACTCAAATACATGTAAAAAAGTGCTTGTCACCTGACTTACACTTTGAAGTAATTAGATTTACTTGTCTACTTCCCATAATTAGCATCATAGAATATCCTGAGTTGGAAAGGATCCACAAGGATCATCAAGTCTGACCCTTGGCCCTGCACAGGTTCAACTTTTATACTATAGCATACATGGAAATGTAGGAGAGAAGTCTTTAGGGCCTGGGAAGAACAGCTGGGCTTGCCCTGCTGGCAAAGCCAGCCAGAAGCATCCAGGATTTTCACAATGACAAAGCACAGGGCTCCAATGCAAGGATCAGCTATCCTGCTACTGACAAACAGGAGAAGTGGGTAAGAATGCAATTAAAGGCTAGAAAGGAAATAGGACACAGGGACATTTGGAAAAAAAAAACAAAAACAAGCCAGCAAGCAAACAAGCGAAGAAAAAGAAACCCAAAAAGAGAAGACCTCCCTGATAGCCCAGAATCGTCAAAAAAGACTGTCGGCTTTTCTCTTAGGTTAAACACCCAATCTTCTGTTTGATTATTCAAAAGAAAAGAGGCGTAAGACTGGTAGCAAAGAGTAGCTCTACTGGTGTTAACACCAGCACAACCAGAACCATGACAGAACTGTGCTCCAGGCAAATTCCTTCTTTTTAGTCCCATGTTGTCAAGTCTACAAATGCTGAAAATGCAGGAAGGAGAGTGCACATCAGGACACTGGGCAGCATCCAGCAGGAAGAATGAGGAGGGTGTTACAACAGCAATTCAAAGGTAATTATACAACATTATAAAGGAAACGACAGTAAAGCCTATTTATAAACTCATCTACAGTTTTAGAAGAATTTCTGTTGTGAAGTATCAGTTTTAGTACTTTTTCTAATTTTACAAATGTTTGTATTTACGGGATTTTGCTTTTGTACTTTTAATTAGAAAATAATTAGTGCTTAATAATGGTTGGACCCAATGGTGTTAAACCTAGCCTAAGTGAGACTATGAAAAGTCCAAGCAATTTTAATTATCTTATACTGTCTAAGTTTCAGACTCTGGGTGCAACTACTTCTCCAAATAGCTCAAATGCAGATGTTCAGTTTGGGTAGTACTGTATTTACTTGTGAGTTTCAACTGGAACATTTTAAGTATTTGAATATTCTTCCTTGATTCTAAACTATCCATTGCATTACAATTACAGTGATTTTCCTTCAACAATCTTAAAACACTTTACTGAAGTCAGTATCCCTAGCATTTATACAAAATATTTAAGGAAAATAAGGTGCAAATATTAAAAATAGCAGATACCAGCTAAAGCAAATGTGTCCACATGGAAAGTACCTGCATTTCTGATACTGAAGTACAAGCACTTGCAAGATCACCATCAATCCAAGCTATTAATGTCTGCAGTAACATATATGGCAAGAACTTTCAAAGAACACCACCTCAGAAGCAAGACTTCACCAAAAAACATGGCACCACCATGATGTAAATCCATCAGTTCCTTTTGCCTTTTCTTAACTATGTTACAGTTTCCAGAATAAGAACTTTTTCCCCCCTTTTGAAAGTTCACTATTCAGGACTAAGAAAGGTACTTCTTATTCTAATATCAGATTTGCTGCGGACTAGTCTCTACAGAAGAATTTGCATTTATTTCATCATGAAAACATTATTCCCAGACAAGTAAGAAATATATTTTCCTACAGTTTGCCTTCTGCATTAGGAAGCTGATACCTTTGGCTCCCACCCACATCCTCCACACACTTTTCCTGGTTTTCTGGGTAGGCTGTTTGAAGAGATCATGGCATTTCACCACAAAGTGAACTACCACATTACCCCTCAGCTTCTAGAGGACCAGAGAGATGCTAGCATCAGCTTTTTCTTCTCCTTCTGCCAGTCCAAACTTGGACATTTTTGTGAGATCAATTTAATATTCTGAGAATTTACCCCTACCTTACTATCTGACGAAATTTCCAAGTATCATCAAACATTATGAGGACGAACACACCTAATCAAGTAAAGGTTACAAAACAGAGACTAAATACTATTAACACTAAAAACTAACTATTTTGTAAAAACATACACAGAAGTTAGCCAGAATTTAAACCAAATGCAGGCTTCCAGGAGCTACAACTAAATCACTAGCTCCTTGAAAATGTAAGTCTATAGGCAAGGAATCTGTGTGATATAACTACTGAATGTTTCCTAAAGACTGATCAGCAGATTCCAGAATGTTCCTCTTGGGGACACGGAACAGATGAGAAGATAAAGAACAGTTAAAGTTACAAGCTTGCAGGGGATAAAAAAAGACAAAAGGGGGAAAGCTACAGAAAAGGGAATACCTTTGTGAAAGAAAAATTGTTTCCCATAAAACCTCAGCCCAGTGTAAAGAATTAAAACCAGAGATGACTAAACTAGGGGATATCCCTATTCACCAAATCACTAAGAAAAATTTATTACTTGTTTTTTTAACAAATAAAATCTGTGGGGTTTGGCAAATCTCAGTGCTTGTGGTTCTCTTGTTGCACACAATATGTAGGGCACAAGACTACAGTTGTAATAAGAGCCTCCTCTAGCTGATCAAAACCCAGCTGAAAAAGCTATTTATTGCCATGGAAGGCCAAGGACCACAGCTGGTCAGTTTAACAATTTTCGTTAAATTTTCGTTAAATTACCAAACTCCAAAAAACTAATATACATTAATAGGAACAAGACCATCCCAACCACTAGAACACATCAAATTCACTCTGCATGGAAGCTGGGAAAACAGATGACAAATACTCTGCTGACTTTCTAGCCAGCAAAGGACCCAGGATGCCCTTGAGAACAACAGGAGCACAGTGCAGAGCTGTGCTGCAGGCAGCAAACCTTTAAGGGGAAGAGGAGGATGAAATACAAAGCTTCTTTATAGTCAAC